AGCTACACTGAGTGATATGGCTGGGTGTCGCAAACAGTGGCGCTCGTGCATCTACTCGTTGTTTTCCTGACACCACTCTATGTGTATTCCCCACCTTCCGCTTGATTTTCTTCGACCATTCCAATCTTCACTTCGCTCTTTTATCCAAATGGGCAACCAAAGACAGCAACCAAAACCGGCGCACGAAAGAGCATGGTTAATGGTTGTAAAAAAGAACTAAAACCTAAGCACGTTAATCATACTATCGAATAAAAGATTAAACTATGCTCAGAATGTTACTCTGTAGGGTATTTTTGCGACAACTCAGGGATACTGATGAAAATCAATATGTAGCCTAGGCTGACCGGCTTTAATTATGTTTACTCAGAAACTCAGATCCATCCACTTGTCGTTTCACAAACCAAAAACGTCTAATTTTTCACACTAGCATTCCACATAAACATATCGTAACTCAACAGTATCCCATCTGGCTTATATTCTACCTGACGGGAAGTAGGCCTTACATGAACTGTTTTTGACATGGTTGAGTATCGTACATCTCAATCTCCTTGCAACTAGAATTCTCGATCCCCTCTTTGACTCTGCTCCCAACATTCCGTCTACCTCTTCGTCCAAATTGGCAGTTAAAGGACAGCAATCAAAACCGCCTCAGAAAGTTCATGGTTAATGGTTGTTAAACTGAACGCTGTACATCTGCGTAGATGAATCTCTTTCTATTTACATTTCATCATGGTTAAATATGGATCTCGTCACTTCTTATTCTGATACAACATATTTCGGATGATATATAGGCATGACAGTATAAGCCATTGCAACACAATGAAATACGTTTGCAAGATGTTGCATCACCGGAGATTTTCTTTCAGCTATTTACGAAACGTCTTTCAACAGGATGTTTATTTCGTTGGGGGGGGGAGAACATGAAGCATAACTATATGATTATAACTATTACAAGCAGATACCGGCAGTTCAACCGAAACAACCTCATTCTGAATCTGAAAATAAGCAGAAGAACAAGTTAAATGGTAAGATTTTTACGGAAATCGCTTTGACTATCGGTCTGCTGGTTAAAATCTGAGCCAAAATGGACTAGTTTAAGCGCCAAAAATTGGCTCCAATTGGGATCTTATGGATAGATGAGAAATTTTCACTTGGAGCATATGAGAGGATGATTGCGGGATATTTGGAAACGCCAGATAAAACGGGAGGAACGATAAAAAGTGGCACCAATAATACCAATACCCGTGTATTTTATTCGGTAAAACCCAAGTCATCACTTAGAATCAATCGAGGCATCATCAGACGGAAAATTATTCTGGACAAAAGTTGAAAATGATCCATCAAGTTAAGCGTGGGGCTAGAATTTCTGAGATTAAGAAAGTCGGGCTGAACTGAAAGTAGAAATCAGCAAAAAATGAGGAGCGCGTGGAAAAGTTCGGGGGAAACTCACTTTACACTTGGTGAAACGCTGTCCCTGAAAAGACCAACAAGCATAGGAAAAAGCTGATGAACGAAAATGCGCTGAGCTTCCGTATGGGATTTCTTCGAGACTGGCTGGGCATCTTGGTCTGATGTGTCACTGACTCGCATTTGGGAGATCTTTGAAGTAACACGACTGCTTGAACCTATAAGAAGAATAGTTGGTGTTAGGAGCTTAATGATCCAAAAAAGGAATAGGCAAATGCCGAATATCGTTTCGCTAATTTGCACAGGAGAGTGGAATGCACAGAAAACGCGTGCAACTATATGACACGCCATAGTGATAATGATAGACACAGCAGTCAAGAGGACCCGCTGTATGAATAGTTGAATCGACAACCCATGATCAAATAAAATCTCAACGGTAATGTCCGAAAAGTGAGTGATATTCAAATTTTACGTGCTTCAATTTCTAATGTTGAGGGGCACTGTGCGTGCTACTAAGTTAAAATAACCCTGGCATTTTAAACAATACCTAGAGCAAAACAACAAGAAAAATCACTGAGAGAGGGGGGAGAGCTGGTTTGCGCACCAATAATTTAAAAAGGTACCGTGAAACAACGGGAAGAAGGATGAAACGGACGAAGCAGAAATTGTAAGTACTGGATTTCAACGCATCTCACTGTCTGGAACATGTGTTATGCGAGTGATTAAGCGCATCTGCTCGGAGTGCATCTCAAGCCAACGACGGTAGTAGATGAACGGGTGGATGTGGGATACCAGGTCATGATGTAGCTGGAGACAAACCAACCCGACCGGAACCAATCAAAAATGTGCCGATTCACCAGGTTGAGAAGAATCATTTGTTTAGCCAAGTTCGTTTATTTCATACAAAAAACCAAAGCACCCATATCGTTTTTATACGTGAGGAGCTACAAAATAAAAAGTTCACTAGGTCTCACAACCAGATATACTTTAGCACGGTAGAAGAAAAGTTTTAAAAATTTAACAACTTGACCGAGGGAAGTTCAGGGAGTCTGTTCGGATATGGTAAACTGACATTGTTGAATTTGTTCATTCTGTTTAACTAGTTAACTACTAAAACCGTAGCATACCTTGGCTTTTGTCGTGTGCTATTTGTGTCCCAATGTGTTTGCCGAGGGACAACAATCCAATCGTCGGTACTCAAGCGCGAGACGGTTAGGATGGATTTTCTGACATAGCATAGTACACAGTTATATACGGAAACCGTAAAACGACGGGGACCAGTGGTTCAGTTACTAACCGACAAGTTCAACCCAGAGTGGGGTGATGAACCATATAAGAACCGTCCAGCTGACTAACTCGAAAAGATAAACCGTCTGTAACCGGAATCCTCGATAACACCATAAGATCAGAGTGATACAAACGCTATTGATTTTAGCACAATAATCTCCCAGCCTGATATTCGAAAAGAGCAACAAGGGTTTAAGTTATGTGGAATTTGAAACCCATACGAAAAAAAACAATTGAGAGCTAAATAGATCGACCGGTATATATGAAATTCAATGTCTGTACTTTGAGATTAACAAGCATGTACCGGGATAATAACAACGAGGTCGTGACCTGACAAGAGGTTCTGCCACCAACTATGATGTGTTACCACGACGACTAACGGGACACGTGATGCACATGAGGATGATTCCTATACGGTCGCCTGCGGCGGTTTGTCTTGATCTCATAATGAGTTCACGTTCAGATTATGTACACCATATCGGTAGAAATCGCTAAAGTGAAGAAGTGGAGATAACTAATGCGTTCCTATCAATTGGCACGACTTTCTATAAAAAGAATAGTTCTAGACGTATAGAGTATTCGTAAAAAAGAGATAAAAAGAATCATCTTTCACTATGTACATTATTGTCCGCCCAGCAAACTGAGTGTGAGGAAACAGGATAGAAAAGAACAATACATTCATCTCCCACTGATTGTAGTACTTACGCCTGGTCTCCATTTCCAACAGATCAACCACTTGCTGACAGCCTGGATACAATACTTGCTCCCGTGCTCGATCTATTGGCCGTCTACCTTGATCGTCCCGTTGATTGGGATCGGCACCTCGAGCCAACAGCGTCCGACATACCTCAACGCGACCAAAAGTGGCCGCGTAGTCCAACGGACTTCGAACACCCTGGTTGACATTCGATCCACGGCTGCAAAGGAAATCGACCATGGCCGGTGTGCCGAAGGAGGCGGCCCAATTTAGCAACGTTTGACCCAAATGATCAGTGTAATTCACATCAATTTTACCCGAATCTACTTGGGCTTTCAGGAAGTCTGGAATGTGTAAGATTTGGCACAGGAGGACAGAAATTAGACACAACAGCAACAGTTTCATGGTTGAGAAAACCCATAAAAAGAGACTACTTCAAGGAACACTGAAAATCTGCTCAAATTCATAAGGAAAAAAATCTTGTGTATGCTAGTGACTTCCTAGAATCCGTTTGGACCTGAAAGATGCATAAAATAAACCTTCGAGTGGAATCTCAGTGAAATAAGTAATACAAATACAATAATTGTCTTGAAAGTGGTTTTCGGTTTGTACAGTGGTGGTCAAGCGGGTTAATCACTGTCATCGGCGTGTTTTTAGCCATCTGGCCCGAGTTTCGAACCCCATTACCACCACCCAGCTTTATTGGTAGGCAGCTTTCCTTTCGTCCGGCCTAATATCACACCTAACTTAGCGTGTGGTTCGCCAAACCCAGCCCCCGGGCTTAGGCCGGCAGTGTCCACAAGTGAGTAGTAGGTCCTCGCCAATTTTTCATCGTATCAAAGGTTTGCAGTGAAAAAAATTAAAAAGAAGTCCGAAAATTGTCCAGGCGGAATGTAGCCTAGGTGAACTGGTACGATGGTTGGATTCAAGCAGCAATCAGTAATAGTTCATAAGGGAAGCTGAAAACATCAGGATCCAATAATGGACTCGTGTGAATAACGCAAATAAGAACCTACTCTGTGCGATAATTTGTCCTTTAGCAAGTGTTCAGTGACAGAAGATTTCACGATTTCGCTTTTAGACAACTTGTTTTTACATGACGACAACTCAACCGGAAGCTTTTCGCAGGTAAGAGAGCGCATGCCAGGTGGAAACCGACCCAGTTTCCGATATTCCACAAACGCTCACTCAATGAAAAAGTGCCCTTAACCTTAACCTCCAACGAGGCTGTTTTTCCGATCTATTAATAGGAAATACGCCAGAGAGCTTACAGCTTTACTGAACACGGCCACATAATCGCCCAAAACCTAGAACAGAATCAATCCAAACCAGTAACAAAATTTTACATTTTCCCCATTTCTGTTTATCCCCGGCAACCTTGGATTGGTCGCAGGCTCAAGTAGACAAGCCTGAGAAACCTGGCAGTATACAAACAAATTACTGAACTTTATCTTTTGTATGAAGATTATTGTACTGTGATCTGTTTGCGTACAGTCTGCATTCAAATGTATAAGACATACATATTCGATGAATCAAGACGTAAAACATTATCATTATTATCATATGGCAATTATAAAAGGCCACCTGAACGGATCTTCACTTACAAGCACATTAAAAGTATATTTATATCAAACAGATAATCGTCTGGAAAAAAACTGCGACCCTCGGATGATAATGGAAAAGTATTTAGAGCCGTATACAACAGCACACTAAAGTAACAAGAAAATTTTGAACGAAGATAATTGTGGTGATGTAAAAAAACGTAATCCCCGACTTCGCATCCACGATCCACAGACATCAGAGAAATATACCGCTAGAAAATAACCGGATTAAACAACAGCTTTCAGATCAACGAAAGGGACGAGGGGTTTGAGCTTCGATTCTTAATTCAACAGCAAGGATATGGCCAATATAACTTCAACCGGACAACGAGCCAAGTTAATCCTCACACCTACACCACTCTCAAGATGGGTAGATAGTCGACGAATAGTGACGCATAAGAGCAACTCGAATGCGGTAATCACCAAGCCAGGTGCCGCCTGTCACTAAAAAGGACTTGTTCTTCTTGTTGTATAAGGACAACCAATTCATCTCATAATATAGACAACTGCTAACATCATCCAACATGATGGAGTTGCTTCAGGTACGACACTATAGTGTCTCAGCATCGCACATGAATGAGGAAAGAATTGCATTGCATATATGCATTGATTTGATATTGACTTCATAATTTTTGCGATGGCAGATACAACGTTCACTAGCTTGAGTTGGGGTGCTCTAGACTTCTGAATGAGTGACAGAGCTGAAAGATATCGCTAACTCAATTCTGAAAGTAGAATGGTGAACTTCAAGCGACTGTTCGTTGTAGTTACTAGAGGGCAGTTAGAACCAATAAAATAAATAAAATAAAAGCTGATTGCCAGAAACAGCAGCCTTGAACAGATTTCTGACAACGTGAACCGAAGTCAATGCGACCGACGACAGCACAAGTCAGGGGAAGATGGCACCACCATTTCTGCAAGATTAACTGTTATGAGAGAAGCAGGTTATTGACTGCGCACAACTGAACCAAGAAAATATCGCTATATTTCTCGTTGAGGAGAGTTCGAACAGCACCAACCACCAGAAATTCTTATCCCTACTGCACAAAGCGTAACATTTCTTAAGCGTATCCACTGAGGAATTAATTAGTGTGAAGCTGGCCTTTCATCAAACGAGATGAATTCAATGGGTTTATTTATCTCAGAAGCAAGCAGACGATTTCGCTACGCAGTGTGAGCACAACGCCATATGAATCAAGAGCTTCGGATGCGGAAGATATGTAACAAATGAAGCCAATTCATGTACGCGTTTTGAGGAAACGAATTTCGGTGGGTCTATAGAAGATAGTCCACGGTTAAAAAAAACGATTATCGACAGACATCTAGTTAGTTAAGTTCGCATCGCCGAATCCTTCTAAAAATCTGAGGAGCGCCGATGAGGTACGCGACCGCGAAAAATGAGGAAACTGAATGATTTAAGCAGTAGAGGTCACCAGATTCAATCTGAACAGTGATCATCAATCTCTCGTACTCTCATTCAGCTGAAAACGCGCATTCATCCAGTCATGTTACGGTTATCTCCAACCGTATCTACTCGTTTCAGTGTACCTGTACCTGAACGGACATGACACAGAATATGCGATTAGGTCCCAAAATACCTTGGACTTCGCGGGGCAAAACTACCATCCAATGCTATAGCTTGGTAGCAGTGGTCACCAGGTCGACGCACCAAAAGCGATTCCTGTCATTGCGAGACCTCGAAGATTACGGATCTTGCGATTTTCAAAAGTGATAATTAATTATCGCTTGAAAATTGCAATCATATGCTCAAAAATCATTTGTGACGCAACTGTTTTTGCTGCGATAGAGGTTATGTCACGCCAGATGGCCCCAACCACGTCGTGACATGTCCCTCCCTCTCTCTCCACCCACCACCACTCAATCTCATCACCTTGTTTTACTGTCCACTTTTCTAACGAGTTATCCAATTTGCTCATCTAACTCGACCTTGACCCGAACCCAAAACTAAATCACGCAACTCAGTTTTCCATATAACTCAGTTCAACTCCTAAGTTTCTTTGTTGGATATGATGGCATAAATGCGCGTTTACAGATCAATGAGAGCACTGGAAATTGATGTCCAATATCAATTCCGGCGACCCGCTCTCTTTGGTTGATGAAATGGAAAAAAGGATAAGGATACTTCACTCGGTCCTCAATTTCCCTTCACACTTCATTTCTCAAGATCAGTGGTGAGAATGGGAACTGTTAGTAAAAAAATATGGATTTGGTAAACGAGCATGAAGGCGAACTACAAGCAAAACCAATTTGAAGTAAAATGTCTCACCAAAGTCTTGATTTTTTATCGCCTCAATCACAGAACGGTGCAACAAATCTCGATCACTGGGGTTCTGTGTGGTCGGAGTCGACGGTGCATTCACAGGTAACGGTTCACTGCGAGATACTGGTGAGGTGGACTCTTGTGCTTTTTGATTTCTTTCAGTGGACTGCATGGACGAATCAGCTTCTGTCGCGACAATAGCCGCCGCAGGTGAAAGTGAAGTAGAGGATGAACCCTCGCAAACTGTAGTACATGAATCTGATTGTAAGGTTGCCGATGAAGGAGTCTGTGGCGAACAAGGTTTAGTTTCTGATTCCAGCAGGGATTGACTGTCTCCGAAGGAACGCTTATCGGAATTTTGATAAAGTAACACGAGCAAAATGTTCACCAAACGCAAAACACTCAAAACTACCGTCTCGTCCTCGCTGCGCTGAAGCACCATAGCCAAAGTAGTTGCAAACTGACCGTCACTAGTGAGAAGTGATTGGGTCAGGGTGCTGGAACTGCAACAAAGTGTGATCAGGATGTTAGTCACCGCTTGAACAACCGCCGGATTACTTTCGGCGCTTGTTGTGACATTCTCACGCACGGCCTGTGTTTCGCCAACATCCAAAGAAGTTCCTGAAACGAAAACAAAGAAGTATTTGTGAAAATCAATCAACAATAATTTTCCTATTATTAAATCTGACAGGCATCTGAGTTCAAACAGCTATCGTGGCTTTGATTAACTAAGTGTTCATAAAGTTTACATTCAAGTAGTTATGAGCCTGATTACATGATTAGTCCCCAATTCACAATCGAGACAAATACAGTTGTCCATTCCAATACGGGTGGAAGATGATAGAAGATAGAACGGATGTTTCCTTTGTATCAAAGCTGTTAAAGATTTATGGCGGTGGTCTAGTACTCACAGTGAGCATTCAAAAGTAATCCATTCGTCTGAGGAACGACGGTTGGCCTAGTTATCAAATCACATTCCTCCTTGTCCATGCAGAAAATAAATGGTCGTCAAGTGGTTAATACTACTATTATATCGACCTGGAGGTTATGAGTTCAAACCACATTACCATCGGTAACCGACATCACCCACCCAACGGTGACTCATTAGCTGCAGCATCCTCTCCCCTTGAAAGTCGATAATACAATTGGATTCAACTATATCAGAACAATAGACACTAAAAGCGTGCGAGAATATATTACGAGGCAAATTACCTGCTTCAGTTGTGCCGAACGTGCTTAGTTCGGATATCTGGGCCGTTTGTTCAACGCCTCCAGCCACACGCAGACGGTGGAGCAGACAAGCAATAATGTGCGGATGCGCCAACGGACTAGGGTCAGTTCCCGAATGCGCAAAACGTGCGACCAGATTAGCGAATGCCCTCAAAGTTTGATCCGCTACCCCAGTCTCGCGATAGTCCAACAAAGCACTGAGAGCTTCTATCCAGGTCTTCAAATTACTGTCCGACGGATCAGCCTTGCTGAACAGTTTGCGGATGAGTTCCATTCCAGCTTGAAGGACGTCGGTATGGAGAAGTGGCAGATTCGCACGGACGAATTGGAGGACGGCGGTCAATCCACCATTTGTATACAGGGCAGCAGGATCGTAGTTGCAAATTATCTTCATTAACTACATGATAAAACCAAAGGAAAGTAAGTCTTAACTAAGGTGTAAACCAAAAACATGAATAGAAAACTCAGCGGTGCTATATGCAATGTTAATCTACATCGTAAAAGCTTTACTCATGGAGGAGTGTAAATGTTCCGTCCTGTCTACAGTATCACGTTAAGATAAAACGGTGATAAATTCAAATTACTCATGCTTAATTTATTCATAACGTGGTTTGCCATTTGACCTTTCATTTATTAACCACGTACTAGACATTTTAGTGTGACTGAGAGGAGGGATAAAACCAGATGTTAAGAATGACGCTAACCGGAAACTTCAACCCTAGGAGTTGGAATACGGAGCTACATGTTGCACTGCACAGTTTTTCGGTTCAGATTATTTGAAACAGACCACAACCAGAAGCAGAGTTATATGGGAGATCGCGCTTCCAAAGGCTGCGCATTAGGGAACAGCCAGCAATTTGGTATTCAATTGTGAACGAGGCTGACCCAGGGTTGTCTCCTCGTGAGATATCGTTTGCTTTTCTGGATAGTTTGAGTGCTAGTGTATGGGTTTTTCACCTTTGCGATATTAAATGCAGCCCCCAATCTTGCTTTAAATGAGGCAGTGGTAGAGGAAAATTAGAATGAGTTCGCCATTTCAAGTAGCAAGTCTTATCATTCTCATCATATATATACATATACATATATATATTACACCGGCTTGAGAACAAGCATGGTGCCAATTGTACAGCCAAACAGAATGTATAAGGTGGTCAGGGAAGTATACGTACATCAATCCGGAACTGCTCAATGCGTCAACGCTGTGACATAAATATGACGTTGAGCCAAGCAACAACGAAGCAAACTACTATTAAAACATATGTGACCTAGGATTATTACTTATAGGAGTTCATAGGCACGCTTCATTTAACACAGTGCTAAACTTGTCGAATTTATAACACAACGTACTAATGAAAGGACTCAAATTTCAAGCACAGTTTGTAGACACCTCAGCATCAAGCTTTTCTGATCTGGACCGGCGAAGAAGCGTTACCATCAAACAAGATGCCCTCAAATCGAAACGATTAATCATTTCTAACTTCGCAAAATATCATCCCCCCCCCATACCTTCTGAAAAACACTGTGACTAAAATAAAGCAACTATGTCTGAGTATAAATTCTAATTAGTGGTACATTTCATCGCGAATTATCTATTGATTAACAGTATCAATAACTAATCAAATTAACTCAAGAGAGAAGACATCTTAACTTCGAGCAAGATAACTGATCACATCATAACCTTAGAGCAATCAATTCGTTCCCTATACCTTTGCAATCATATATATGAGTCCGATAGATGATGTATGAACAAAATAGGAAGCCGATGTCCATTAGTGTTAAAACACGAACTCACTTTAATCAACTGTTGACCGAATTCATTGCTTTTCGCTGAAGTCATATTCACGCACTCTAAGTGAGTGCCCAAGGCACGAAGTACTTCACCGGATTGGGTTATATACTTACACCATTCGAGATGCATGTCAATGTAATACGAAACAGCTCTGGCATTAGCCTCCAAGACGTCTGGTGGAGCCTGATTATCAAGAAAAATTCTACACAATGCCGGAAGAAAACATCTTGGAGGGTAGCGCTNGTAGCGCTCGCAGAAGACGTCAATATTATCCGAAAAGAGCACTTCGTTACACAATTGCTCAAGGGCTGTTAACTGCAGTGCTCGAAGCTCGCCATTCTTTGCGCCCAACCACTCCAAAACCACCTTAGGATCGGCCTCCATTGTGCAGCCCAACAGCTAAAATACAAAAATCCGGGCCAAAATGTGGCGATGTTGAGCACAAGAAAGTCTAAACATGAAGCCAAACGACAAACAAGAAAGTATGCACAAGGTCCTAATTTTTGGTACTAAACGGTTTACTAACAATTCTGAACCGACTGAAGCCCCGGGGTTCGCAATATATGTTAAATTATTTTTACTTGCATCATAAAATATATACCATTTAAGATGTATGAAAAAGCGCTACACGAAGTTTGACTCTGAGTAATGCCTTAGAATGCATAGGAATATACCTTCAGTGTGCTGACGAGCGCCTATCAATCCAAATAGGAGGGGATTTCATCACTGGGATTGTAAGAACTAGCAGAGACTTAAGAATATCTGTGTCGGTAGATTTCCGCTGGGAGAACCAATGTCCACTGGCTGCGTCAAGGGCGAGAAAACAGCTGTTCAGGCTTAAGTAAGTACTATCGTGTAGGAAGCCCGAAGTATTCCTCCCTCTTTACAAAACCATAATTAGGCCGCACTTGGAGTACTGCGTGCAGGCTTGATCACCCTTATTCAAAAAGTATGAAGGCTGTTTAAAGAAAGTGCAAAGATTAGCCACCCGAATGATTGAAGAACAAAAGGATAAGTCATACCAAGACGGACGAAAAGACTTCGGACTTCGTCTCTGGAAAAGAGACGACTAGGGGAGACCTACTGGAGACCTTTAGGGTTGTGAAAGGACTCTGGTTTCAGAAAAGAGAGCCTGTTGCAGGAGGTTACCCAGCAAGGAACCAGAGGGAATGGGTAAAAACTACATAAACAGCGTTGCAACCCGGTCGTTAGATCAAGCTTCTTCCGTAATAGAGCAGTGAACCGTTGGAACCCGTGGCCAAAGGAATTAGTAGATTTAAGCGTGACGGCATTTAAGCTCCCTCCGAATAGGCGTTGGACAGAGCTTTTTCCAGAACAAGATTTTCAATATACTATAGAACGTCTTCATGAAACATGTTCGTTGTTCGTAGAAGAGGAAGGAAGTGAAAGGAGACGAGCCTTTTCCCTTCCTTTTCAGCAAGGACATCGTACTGGAGGCAATGCGCAGTGGTGGGTGCACACTTTGTGAGCATACTGCCGGAGGAAATTTGGACGCATGATTGGTCGTAGACATATTTAGTCCTGTGCAACCCGACCTGATGGAGCAGAGGGGGATATAGCACTAAGATTCAAGGACTACTTCAAAAGCGTACACAGGGTGGACCAAATCGATACTGCACTACCTGACCTCCACATCGCTGGATCAGGTATGCCCGAATTACAGGTGGGGTTTGAACAAGTGTGCAGAACAATTGGTGAGCTCAACGCCACCAGATCCGTTGGCCCAGACGGCATCCCACCAGCCTTAGTTAGACACAGCTGAGGTTCTAGGGGGCCCGCTCTGCCACCTGTACAACAGAACTCTAGCGCAGGGAAGGATACCACAGGACTGAAAAACGGCAACTGTGGTCGCCATACAAAAGTAGGACCGAGAAAAAAAGTGGAAAACTATCGTTTAATTAGTCTCACGGGCATTTTGTGCAAAGCACTAAAGCGAATTATCAGAACCCACTTATATGAATACCTCACTCAGCACCGCTTGCTCATTGCGGTACAGCATGGGTTACTGAAGGGAAAATCCTGTCTCAACAATCTCTTACACTTTTTAGATGAAGTCACAGCGAGATTGGATGAGAGTAAGGAATTGGAAGTATGCTACCTGGAATTTAGCAAAGCATTTGACTCAGTATGTCATTGCTTACTTTTGGCCAAAATAGATGCTATAGAGATAAGGGGTAACATTTACAAGTGGCTGAGGTTGGGATTAACATGTAGGAAACCGAAGGTATCCGTAAAAGGCCACTGTTCGACCGCATTCAGAGTATTGTATACAAGCCTGAGCTCTCTTCTTCAAAAATGACGCCGTTTGTCTCGAGGAGGTCCAACGATTAGCCACAGATGATCGAAGGACAGCGAGGGAAGCCGTATAAGCAGACTGCATGACCTTGGACTCTTCTCTTTAGAAAGAAGAAGACTCCGAGGTGATTTGAGAGACATTCAGAATTATGAATGACCTATCAGGGACGGATCAAGCAGTGTTCTTCCAAGGATCAAAAGCAATACTAGGGGGCACATATACAAGCTGAAGGAGGTGCGCACGAGACTAGCGGTGCGTTCAAACTTCTTCAGCAACAGGGTAGTCAACTCATGGAATAAGTAACCACAGGAGTTGGTGGAGATAGGTAGCGTACGTGCTTCAAGAAGGAGCTCGACAAGCGCTGGTTGAACTCATTTCCCAAAGTGGATGTATAGATTAAGGTCTGGAAACAGTGGTAGGTTTTTTTTCAGTTACTAACCACTCCAGCAGGGAAACGCTTCCAAGGAGAACAGGGAGAGAACATACTTTCCCCCTTCTCTTCTCTTGCAGAGGCGGAGACGACTGGGACGAGAAGAAAACGTGTAGAACTACAATATAGAACACTCGCAGTGGTAGGGGCCAACGCGTGGCTTACTACCGGAGGAACTCTGGACGCTCGATTGGCCGTGGCCATCTTCTGTCTCGGGCAAACTGACTGAGTACAAAGTAAAGAAATTAAAAAGTTAAAAAAGGTTTTATTATCTCAAATTAATGCTTTGCAGTCATCCATCTTCGAACTGTGCTGTCACTGTCGATGAATTAAAATAACTTCCGAACAGCAAGAAGAAACTTAGACGGTAATTATTCGGACCAGAAAGGTTCAAGATAAGAATAATCACGACGTGCTTCTGAAGGGTTAGGAAAAAAGGAAAACTGGGAAGAAAAGATGGCGAAAAACAGGAGCTACATCTGAGCAAATGCATTGAGAATGATGGGCTATATCCTGCGGATTGCATTAGTTTAGTGGGCGCAGTACCTAGCGATTCTTCTGTGACAAAATGATATGGGAAGTTGATGCCGGCGGAAAAGAAAAAGTTCGAAGTAGGACAACTGGTCTTTAAAGACCAGTTGGGAGACCAATTGGGAGCAAACCAGGAATCTTTTTCGTGGTCTACATACAGGATAGCTCTAGTCAATTATGAAAGCTTCAGGTATGTGTCTCCTGAAAACTAGTCGCGCCATACGTTGAATATTACACCGTGTACCAATAACGATGGGCGGAAGTGTCGGATAATAATTATCCGTAACCTGCACACGGTAGACACTATTTCTGATGACTTTCACATAAAATTTATATTACTCTATTTCATGAAAGTTGACGAACTAAGGAAAATATGAACCTGGAGTCGTTTCATGTTGGTATAAAACATGAGAATTTAACGAAATAAAAGCTACACCATATAACAGCGAAACCAGTAGGCGATGTCCAGTTTGTGGTTTACGTCAGGTTGAGTTGAAGTCTTGAAGTCTTGAAGTGATTCACGGGTTCGAGGCTGTTGCCCAAATGTCCCGGGTCCTTGAAAGGTATCTGTGTTCTTTCTTGGTTTGAATTACCTCTAGAACAGAGAGTACTGAAAAGGGATTAGTAGGGTTCCCCGCT